CCCAACCAAACCATCACCTCACTAGGCCTATCTCCGACATCAAACAAGAGTGTCGTTAGACTCTCTACCTCTCCAGTACTCCACACAGCCCGTCGTAGGTTGACAGGACGACCGTCCCTCTACACAGGATGGATGAGCCACAGCTACCTACACACACAAGCCACGCCATAACCTACGTCTTTTTTGTTGTTATAGTTTTACGGCACTTGCAACACAATAACGTCATACAAGTGCCGGAGATTAGAGGTGTTACAAGAGAGTAACAAACACAAAAAAGGAGAAGAGATAAGGACGTTAGATGTTCGATAGGAAAGAAGGACGAGAAAACCACACCTGAGCACCCACCAACCATCCACCCCGGGCGTTGGCTTGACGCTTTTTATATAGTACTCACATACATGCAACTGTAGAAGTCATGTATGTTTTAGGTCCCACTCAACGCGATTTGGATAATTTAGAAGGCAAGCTGCTCCATCCTGCTCGTCAGAGCCAACCAAGGTAAAGAGTGATACAACGATCCAGAAGAAGGATGGTGATGAGCTCAATAGAAAACTCCCAGATCGCCTCCAGCAACGTTACATAAAACTTCAACATCAATAACAGACGAATAAACACCTGATCAGGTAAATGCTTTAAAACAAAAACAGTATTAAAATTCTACCTAGTATTCGCAGAAGTTTATATAAAATTAAAACGTCCTCAAAAACACCACTGGGGAAAAAAGAGGAACAACTAGTAAAAGATAGCACAGAGTGGTATGCAGGAAGAAAAGTTCAAGTATTTAGAAATGATTTGATGTAGAAGCCATAACAACATCCCAAAAACCTGAAAAAAACGAGACGTTGAACGTATAGTAGCAGCAACAAGCATGAATCTCCACAAACATTCATCATCACTACAAATTTCCACACAAAAAAACCCCAATAGTTGTCAAGTAGTAATTTGTGACGAACCTGCACTATAACAACCACATTTCACTGGGAAGTACAGATATACAGACAATGACAACAGAAATAACAAGCCACAGACAACGTAGCACGAGCAGACTACAACAAAGCCACAACGAACCAATAGCTCACATACATGGCTACATATTTGCTTTAGAGAAGAAAAAAAAGCACATCAACACAATAATGGTCATTTAGTGCTGGGAAAAAACAATCTCGAGGATTGACATACAAAAACGAAAAGGAAAAGTAAAGGAGTGGGACATGTCAGTGGTGTCCTTCAAACATCTGCCCACCAACAGACAGTGCAAAGCAAACTGTTAGCAGACAGAGAGTGAAGGAGTCTGGAAGAGAGAGTACACACATCCACAGAGCACACAGAGGTATTCTCCCTCTCTCTCTCTCTCTCTCTCACACACACACACACACACACACACACACACACACACACATCCTTGGAGCACATTGAGATACTCACCATCATCATCACAATCCAATGGTGCTTCTTTCTGTAAATGTGCTAGCCGAGGATCCAACCAGTGGGTTGTTTCGTTGTTGTGACTGCAGAAAGACCCCCCCCCCAAAAAAAATGATTATCATCATATCTAATTTTACTCTGAGTCCCAGTGAGTATTAGAGAGGCACATCAACTCAATAACAGTAAATAACAGTCATTTAGTGCTGGTATATTGTAAGGAAGACGGACAGAAACAGATGGAAAGAAAAGAAACCGGCACCTTAATTGTTGTGCCCCCCCCCCCCCCCCAACCACCTGCTTGTTCTGAGTTAAATATTTAAAATCTAAACTGCAGTTTTGTAGAAAAACTGACAATCGATCGTGTAAGTAACTACATAAGCAGAAGATTGTTTCAGTTTATTATCTCTACTAAAGCAAATGTAATAATGTCGACCTACTGAGATACAAAAAGTACTTTTAGCAATGGAACTGGCAACCACACTAGGATACACTTCCGACCCACCAAGTAGAAGGTCAAGGGTCAAACACCAGAAGGCATGCCATACACAGTGAAGTATAAAGAGAAAAGATGTTAAACCCTGCACTGCATCGGAAAAGCAGAAGATCATGAGTGGCACCTCATCGGTGGGAACAAAATGCAATTTATAATTTATAGCCGTAGTACTCAGGATGAGAATGTTTAAAAAGAGTAAAAATGATTAAGATGACAGCAGATCTCAAATCATGTTTCTGAGCGTAAATATGTTCATGTGAATGAAACATTCAACCACTGGATGGCTTCCACTTAAAAATCTGTAAATATTTTTCAAAGCCCAATGCAAATTGCATCCTCTGTAAGAAGCTCTAATTGCTGATTTTTTCGGTCTTAAGCTGTTTCTTTCATGTTAGTCAAATAACCTATCTGACACACAAGCATTTCTTGATCGTTTTATGGGCAGGGCACTGGGACCAGTTTAAGGAGTATTTAAGAGAAAGGAAGAAGTCAACAGTGACAAAACAAAATGAAGTACTTAAACATCCCACACGCACAACTACACACAGATGTATGTTCAAGTCTACTACTCTAGGTGTGCAGTCTGTAGGAGGGATTGCTACCCGCCCGAAAGTCAGTAAGGTGAAGGGGGAAGGGATGTTACTAAAAAGAGGAATTTCTTCCAAAGAGTGCTCAAACTACTTTAAGTTCCAATAATTCTCCAATTCATGTTATTTCTTTTACACAGCAAAATTAAGACCAAATGTCAGTGCAATGAGCCATCAGTTTGTCTGTGCACTGACTACACTATTTTACAATCTGAATTTACTGTCACAGGCCCCTTGAAATGTGCACTTTTAGCACACTGAACTGTAAAATATGACAGCCCAGCAGCAGTGACAGTGACGTGCTATGACAAGGCAGTCACAAAGCTGGACCTTTTCACACAGTGCCATTTTTATCTTATCAACAACCACAACTCCCAAAACAATTTTAAAACAATGTTGAGAGGAGAGAAATTTAAAAAATAAAGATGCGCATGCCAGGGACAGTATACACGCATACCGACTTCTTCAAAGTGTATATTTTTAACATCATGTTACAATAAGAAGACGAAGAAGATACCAGTCTAAAAAAAGGCAACTACTATACTATAAGTGTCGCTGAATGCTGATACCAGTTTGAGATCAGAGCACTTGACAAAACTTTTATCTCCAACACTGAGATAATACAGAAACCATGAGAAATGGAAATGCTTTCTCAGCAGTAAATGATCACACCGGTGCAAGACATTCCCCCACAGAAATTCACAAAGAGCGTTTCTTCAACTGAGAAAAATTCCTTTGCGTAGTTACAGTAGAAGTCACACTGTTGGTTCGCTCTCCAAGCACACTCAAACACGTCAATCATCTAAAAACAAAGTAACTTAATCAGAACTTCTGACCAAAAGTTAAAATGACCAGCTTCATTCCACCTGGAAGTATCACTACAAGCATTATATCAGTGATAATGAAAAAGAAGCAAAAGGTGCATACCACACTACATTTCTCAGCAACAAATTTTAAAATAAAAATCCGCTTGTTGAATTTTTGTTACTTTCCCAATTTTATTTTTTTAAACTACCTGGTGGATTTTTTTCTTCCCCATACTACCCCCCGCTGCATTTCCATCCTTTCCCATACAAAAACAAGCATTAAAAAAAAAAAGCACTCACTCTATAAAGTAAGGGTGGCCGTCGTCCGTGTAAGCCATCTCCCAATTAGGAGGCAACGGGCCTAAGTTTGAGGAGCTGTGCGCTCTCTCCAGTGACTTCTTCCTGGTCATGGGCACGGGAGGCAACTCCTCGTCTACGCCATCGATCAGCATCTCAGAGCCACTGCGGGTTCTCTTTCTCTTGTCGTTGCTCGGTTGTGAGCCCTGCACAGCCTGCCCACCAGGCAGACCCATGGACTGAGAGCGTTTGACCAGCTGGCCCTGCGGCTCCTTGGAGGGCCTCGGAGTTCCATAGTAATTTCCTACAGAAAATACAGGTAAAAGAAAAACATATAATTTTTTCTCAACAGGCAATAAGGGGGATGACAAGCAGGTTTTAAGCTCATAATTTTAAAATATTTTCATCATCCTCATTATTTAAATTGAACGAATTCATTACCATGATTTTGCAACTAAAATCTGGCCCTCCAAATTGACAAACAAATGTGCAAGCGACTTGTAAACACTTCTATTCTAGAGGCCAGTATAAAAGACCCCATCAGGTACCTACAAACAGGGACACAAGACAAAAACCAAAACACATATACCAAAAAAGAAAATCCCAGAATAGACAGGGAAATTTGATGCAACAGGTTGATTTCCAAAAGCAATTGAGATTGACAATTCAAGTAAGTCAGGAGCAGAATGCAAACACTTCACACATCTTGTCAGTAAAAACTTCAGAAAAACTTTATTGTTTATCATAAAATCTTTTGATTAAACATCCCCCAAGCCCATTATGAAATCTGAATTACAAACATTTGTAATTGTAAATATTGGTTTGATTTCGATAAAATGAAAAACCAAAGTATAAGGAAGAAAAGGTGCTTCAATCATGAATTTTGCTCCTGACTTCCTGTTTCTCTTTTGGCACTTTCCACTTTCAGACAGGTAGAATGAAGAACTTATCAAAAGGAAATTGTGATATATAACACTTTAGACTTTCTGGTAACCAGGCATCAATGAAGTAAAGTGGAAGTTGCTGTAACAACAGCCATCTGTCTAAGACATTTACACACTACAAATGGTATCTCTTCCCACTTCCTCCCTTCCATTTTGTTCTGAAAAGACACAACTGCCAATTTCCATGATGCCCACCTGTCTAAGACAATCATTTTTCTCCTGACAATGGGTGGCTCTTGGACAATTTTGACTGCACTTCCACTAAGACCAACTTTGATTTGAATTAAAAAGAAGCACATCCACACAATAGTAGCAATAAAATTTAGCACCGTAAAAAAGGCCACACAGGTTGACAGAAAATAAAATACGTCCCTGGGGCCCACCAGTGGCACCCTCCAACAAACTACACTTTTAGACGAACAGTAAAAGAACACAGCCCAACAGCAGTGTGTATAACAATCTTTCCTTCAAAGAAAGAATAAAAATAGAACCCCAGATGTTGCATCCACTGTAACCTAGTTTATTGTGTACACTTACCATCAAATATACCACTTTCCAACAACTCTCCGGATTTCTCCAAAACCTGAAATTCCTCGATTGTTAGGAAAGTATAATCCACTCCATTTGCTTCTCCTGGTCTTGGGGCCCGTGTGGTACCTGGTGTCGAAGGACAAACTTTTTTTTTAAAAACCAGAACAACTCACTGAACAACTATTTCTATTATAATGCTCACTTTGCTAAGACTCCAACAACAAAAATACTCACTTGACTCTCAAACTTCAGTGACTACACTACATCTTTGGAACCGAACCAGCTAAACTAAAATTGTTTCCACCCACTTGTAGGGCTTGAACAGATCTTAAATTTGACGCTTATAGTAATTATATTGTCAAAATACGATGTGACTCATCTTGTCATGTTACTACACACATATATAGAGAGAGTAAAGGAGAAAGAAAGTGTAAGTAAATCATGCTTCGCTGTAAGAATTACCTTCTTTAAAAAAAAGTAAATAACATTATTTTATAATAAAAAACAGTATTCTTTTCACAAGGTGATACACCCTATAAAATTGAAAAATATATATATATATAGATCTATATATATATATATACCTAAAAGTCTTCCAACCACTAATTATTTAAAAACATACTTACATGGGACCGTGCGCATGTACAGATTATCCCGAATTATCTGCTGTAAGTCATGATCAATGGAGCCTTTCTGAAATCTTGTGATGAGAAAAGCTCCAAGTTCCCTGGGTAATGAACCTGTAAGCAAGAAGCAATAGAAGAACATCCTGTACGAATTTGTTGTATTACAACGACCTAAAAAGCATTTCAGAACACAGTCAGTTTTATGTAACTAACCAACAAAAGTAGTAAAATTGAGAATGAAAATTGCAAGTTCTTGAAAAAGTACTAGACTCATAAGTTTGTAATTCAAAATAGGAAATCAACCATTTTCACGTTTCAGTGTTAAAAATAATAAGACTTTTAAAAACCCAATTTCTCTAACTCTTAATAAACTGTCTCATATTTAAAGAACAAACTTCTGATAAGGACTGAGCTTGAAACATCAGAGGATGCCAAGTGAATTTTCCTTGTTTGATGATTCCTGTCATGACTGAGTAGAATATCTAACTTAGTCTATTCTAAAACAAGCACCGTCAATATCGGGTAGTGTTGAGGACTTGGCTTCAGATATATATATATATTATATCGTCGGTCGCCTTATAAAACCGTGAATTCCACAAATTTTCGAAAATCGTTTTTTTTCATATTTCGATAGTGCTCGGTGAGATACATGTCCCTGTAAAACAATTTTTCAATTATCTCAACTCAAACGTGTAATCTGACGTAATAAGAAAATCGTGAATAAACACCGTGCCCCAAAAGTCGCCTGATGAAACCGTGAATCCCACACCTGTGTGGAATTCACAATCTCATCAGTCGGTTTATGACTCGCAGGGCTGACCGTTGGCGCCGTGAACGCCTCTTTAGACCATTGAAATATGGGCGACTGCGTTGAGCAAACATATGGTCGGTCAGTATTCACGGTTTCCAGGCCCAAGATTATAATTTATGATGTCGACTGCATGCGTTTTGCGAGAAAACCTCTCAGTCACATAATTTAAATGTGTGTTTCCTAGATGCAGGACTGGTATTGGTATTGTTTCACAACGATTGTCAAATTCGAATGTGTAATGTGTGTGCCCTTCGCCTTCTAGTAGTGGTTATACATTTTTGATCTTGCTCATTTGCAAAAATAAAAATTTAATGAACAATTAAAAATTGACGTATTCAAGTATAAATTACAAGTATATTTCCGTGTTGTATATCACAACCCAAACTTGTTTGACGTTGAAAGCTCTTTGATTTGAGATCAGAGTTCCCTAACGAGAAAAGGAATTTTGAGAAGCCGAGCAAAGTGAACCATTTTGGGCATCAAAGACAGCTACGGAAAATACAGCACGGAAATAGTAGAAGAACCAGACTTCTATGAAGAAAAAGGCAAAGGATCATTCAAAGTACACCATGTGTTGGAACAGATCAAAGGTTCTTTTTTAATCTCTGAGAGAGTAAGAGAGGGAGAGAGGGAGAGAGGGAGAGAGAGAGAGAGAGAGAGAGAGAGAGAGAGAGAGAGAGAGAGAGAGAGAGAGTTTTGGAGGAATAAATACTAATGCATCACATTTTATGCACACTAATGTGAGATGTATGTGTTTTTCCCCACGTTTTGGCAATGGCTGCTTATATGTTTTTGTCATCACTGTTACATACAAGAAATACAGTGGTTGCCAAACCAATAGACCCATATCTCCAAAACCCTACATCTCCACCTTGCTCTGATACTCTAGGAAAATGAGCTCTAAATGTCAATCTGAGACTGACAGAAAAGGGAGTCAAATTGGTGTAAGAAAACAATTTTGGAACCACTGAGTCTCAAGAGAGTCTCACGTTTTGGCAATTGCTCACATACAATTTGAGAAAGAAGGACAGAAAGAGAGAAAGCACGCAAATGAAGGAGTATGATTTCATAAATTACATACAATATCCCATTCATGTAAGAGTGAGAGATGTTTATAGTGGTAAAATAATTAATAGCTTTCTGTCTCACTCAGTCTGTAATTTCATTCTCAATTTTAAATTGGTCTCATAAAATCTTTCTTATTACAGTATTTCGTGCTTTCATATATTTTTAGACATACCAGGGCCTCAAATAAGAGAAAACACACTGTCTAATAACCGTGAATACAACACCGCTTTCCAAAAAGCCTACTGATGAAATTGTGAATTCCACACCACGACCGCATCAGGCGAGATTCGAATATGAAAATCGTGAATCCCACACTTTTTCGAAAAAATGACCATCTACGGTAAAAAATGTACAACAGTATTATTTCGAAAAGGTAATTGATTAGATTTATCCATTTAGTTTATATCCAAATGACGGAGAAAATCAGTTTTTTCCCTCTCCTGTAAAATTTGCTTGATGTGGAATTCACGATTTCATCAGGCGACCGACGATATGGAAATGATCGAGAGTCGAGGCAATATGATAGATGAAAAACATATATTTTCTGGTTCTCCTCAATCCTAAACATCAACAATTCTTTTTCAAACTGCTAAAAAAAACTAAATTAAACTTAAAATTGCTGTTCTGGGACTGATTTGATGCATGCATGCCACTTTTTGAGCGCTCAGACCTAAAAGATTGGGTCATCCAAAATATAATTTGCCCATTCAATTCATTCATGACTCTAAAAAAATATGTGACATTGGCTAAAAAAACTTGACCTTGCAGCAATTTCAACCATCATTGGCATCAATATTCATGAACAGACGATAAAATCTAATAGAATGTGAATCTACAATATAAACTAAATAAAACGAAAACAATACACAGACAACAAGTTGAACTCGGCTCTCTCTCTCTCTTTAGCCAAAAAAGTGCATTTTTCTAGTGTTTTGATTAAATATTAAAGTATTTATAATTTATATATAAAACAAAAACCTGATGATCTCAATCAACTTAAGACTTAAGTGATTCGCCACATTTTGAACAGCCCCATATTGAAAAGTTAGGCCCAGAATGGAATTCTGTTAAAAACATTTTCAGCCATTTTAACACACATATTCCTTAACAATCACGACCAGATAATACAAAAAAGTAGGCCGTATATGACAACCAAAGAAGGCAGAGATGATCATGAAGATTTATAATCCAGAAGGAACAAAAACATTACTAGAGTGAGTCATAGCCAATATAATATCATGACATAACACTGACTTCATAGCGGACATGATAACAAACTAAATGCTAGGGCCTCTTCTTTATTGCTGAATCGTGACTTCTAGAACTAGATCGATTAGATCTAACAATGGCTTTTGTAGAGCAGCTTAAGTTCTTCTAAAGTAGAGTAAAAAGATCATTAATTCACTCTCTAAATTCTTCATAATATGAAATAGAATAATGTAGGCCTACATGGGAATCCAGATTTCTCTTATTATAGCGAAAGACAACAGATGGGAGGAAAAGGCCCTTTTCCTTTGATTTTTTAGAGATGGCCCTCTGTTTGGGACTATCCTAAACGAATTCTCTAAATGATTAGTAAAAGAATGGTATTTTATCGGATGGATAGACACACACGACCATTGAGAGCACCATAATTACAACATGGGTAGGTCAACCAAGCGGAAATTTGCTCCCAGCAGAGATAGAAGCTTACCTGTGGCCGGGACTGTTTTGATCATAACAGGTGCCCCATTTTGGCTGACTTGCTTCAACCACAAGGTAGCATCGCGTTGGGTATATCCTGATATTTTCTGCCCCTGAATTTCCAAAATGACATCACCCGTAGTAAGTTTACCACCATGATAATGAATTTTATCAACTCTTATCAACCCTAAATAACAAAACTGCCCGTTATCAGCTCCCCCATCAATGGAAACTGGGAGGTCATCGTGAAACGCAGAGGCGACAGTCTCCCGAACTTGTTTGGTCCAATGAATTTCAACACGTTTTTCGGGAGGTGGAGGACCTCTCGGTGAGGGTAGCTGATTGTTTTTAATCATGATGGACTTCTGTCCATAAATATACACATCTTAGCGTTGACAAAAGCAAAGACAATAGCCCTTTTTTTCTAACACATCGCGTAACAACACGTTAGCACAACACAACCACTGTGGACACGGTCCGAATTTCGTGACGGCAGGCCAGGGGGACACTCTTCACCCCTGTTGACGCATGAAAAGTCACCACCTATGTTATATATTCCAATGAATGAATTCAGTCACAGCACATTCCAAGTCAATAAGTGTGCACTACTAGTTGCAAAGCGATGCAAAAATCGATATCACTTCCGTGTTTACATGGTTTTATCCGTGGGAATGTTGTTCACTGTGTCATTTCAAACTGCTGCCATTCGATACACACTACGTGCGCATGCGCACTAGACCGGTAGTGGATTGCGCTTTCCTCCCGAAGTTTAGGCCTACCCAGTCCCAAAGCTAAACTTGCGTTACAACATCAAAACAAACGCTTGTCGGTCGCTTGTTTCTTTTGGCTTTCTTTCTGTCCCAAACTTAGAACTTTACCTAAAGCAAAGCTTGTTAGTGCTAATTACCCCCGTTTTCTTCCTTTCAGCATCTTGTTCTGTAAATTTCTGTTCTGCCTAAAACTACAAACTTCTCAAGGGCCTTGTTATATTTAATCTGTTGCAACAAACAGAAGGCAAAGGGAGGGAATACAAGAATAACACTAAACACATTAAAAAATGTTTATCTCCCTTTAACTTCCAAACTTGGTCCTTGTAACCTTTTCTGACCAACATGAAGGCTAGGTGAAGTGAATGCAAAATATAGATAATCTCTTGGAATGAAAGATTCGTTTCACAATTCAATAAAAGGTCAGGTGTGCTTATTTCGTCATATCCAGAGACTGATCTAATTTCTTTATTTCCTGCGTGTCATTTAGGCTATGAAATGCGGACTCATAGCTTTGAACACCCCTCCCCCCACACACAACAACTCAACTCCCCCCCCC